GGGGATATATCAAGAATAAAATTTATCAACGGGATCTGAACAATGCTGACGATATCAAATATTTCATTAGACATGAACTGAATATGCTGAATGAAAGACATGCCCATTTTATAGAAAATGCTATAAACCATTTACAGAATTCCTACGAAGAATGTGTTCAGAACTGGGATGGAAATAATAGTTGTGATCAATAAATTTGTTATTTTATTTTAGTTAATTTCCGGAATTTGAATCAATATAAGTATTGAATATCATAACGATATATTAATTGCCTAGATTCAATTGTCATAGCATACTGTCAAAAATCATTTATTGGGGATCGATAAACACTTTTTTCTAGGTTAGACTGTCCATATTATGAGAATAATAAGATATTTCCGAATAATGAGAAGAACTGAAGATATTTTCGGAAAGCTCTTCGAAAGGTTCTGAAATCAGAACTGAAGAATTACTAGTGAACATATCAATCAGACTTGTTTATCTTTGAGAACAAAACAAGATTCGGATCGGATGCCTAATTAATGGATGGAATACAAATTGAACTTGAGGTTTGTAATTTCTTTGACTTCTGAACTAGTTTGTGAGTATAAATATACAAAAAAAAATCAGAAGAATACATGAAATATGTAGAGGATCGAAGCTGATTAACATAAAAAAATCATGAGTATTTTGTAATATGATTAGTCCCAGAATGTACCTACCTCCAGAAAGAAACAATTCTTCTTCTTCAACATTCAAAGTATAATCTCCAAATGAGGGAGAATTTACAGAAAATTAATTTTATCAACATTAACATAGAATATGTCGACATTTTCTGAAGTCAAAGTGAACCCCTTATTGATTTTTCGGTAGGTATATTGGTTCTTCTCAGACAACACATGAGCTTCAATGGCCTCTTTACGTTACAACGGTATAAGGACAAAAGCAGAGCAAGGCCCTTCCGTTAAATCAGAATGAGGCATTCACAGGACTTCCTTCTACTCATTCGGAATGATCACAATGCACCAATTGTTGCATGAAACAGTATCCTGAATCAAGAATTAATGGGTGGAAATTCAAATCTGCAATAGGAAAATGAAGTTGGTAAACGACTACGATTTTTTTCCCTTGAAAGTAACTTTTTCGTCGATCTCTACAATAAATCACATTTTACGTTCTAATTTCTGAAAGAACAATCGACTATTTCCGAAGGCAAGTACTCTCCGTTCGCAGACACTGACTTTTCGTCTGCAAAAACATTTTTCATCCGCTGCAGGGTTGCCATTTATACTGAATTTTCATTAGATCTCCTAATTTGCATATTGATCTACTGATCTACTGAAACATTCCATAACCTACTGAAAAATATCATGACAATTATCCATTTTTATATTCAGCTTTATTATTATTAATCTTAAGTTAATCACATACACTTATAAATTGCATGATATTTCGCATACATTTACATATAGGTACTAATAGTATGTATAAACCAAAAAAGGACAATACCTCATCTGATTTTGATCAAATGCAATTTCAAATATACCTTTGTTATAAGTTACAGTTTATTTCTTACATTTGATTTTTTTATTCGTTTTGTATTTTTGTTGTTCATTCTTATTATTCGTTCTTGTTTATTATAAACTCAAATCTTGTATGTTTACCTATATACAACGTGTCTCACTTCAAACGGCCCCCCTCTATATCTCAGTTATTAGTCATGCGATTCCAACCAAATTCGGTGTGGTATGAATTACCATCAATATGATCAGTTTTACAGAGATGCACATTATTTTGGACAGTGCCGTGCGTTTTTATTGAACTAAAAAGGGGTCGATTTTTCATAAAATCATATTAGGCATTTTTTTACAGGAAATCTAACCTCATATAATTGTTCCTCATGCTTTCGAACCTCCATATGCAAAAAATCACCTGATTCCCGAATTAACAGGATTGGCTTCATTCTTTTCATTTTCAGTCTCGAATAAATAGTGACTTCAAATCAACTATGAATTTTGGAACGTTCAATGGCTCCGGTAGGTGGAAAATCATGATTTGGAAGGAAAAACGAGTTATACTTTTTTATGTTGAACTCACCGTTTCCGAGTAAATAATTATTACGTTCACAAAAATACTGTTTAGATGTGCCTGTTGTTATGGAACCCTTCATGGGCATCTTATGAAAATCCACATATGTGGGTTTGAAACCATGAAAAACAATATTATGAGGTCAGTTTTTCTGTGGAAAAATGCCTAATATGATTTGATAAAAAACTGACCCCTTTTCATTTCAATAAACACGCACGGCACTGTCTAAAATGATGTTTGTCTCTGAAAAACTGATCAAATTGATGATTATTCATACCGATATAAATTTGGTAAAGATAGCCCGACTGATAGCTGAGATATAGAGGGGGGGCCGTTTGAAAAGAGACACGCTGTATAACTGAATTCTGTGATATTTGTGAGTATTTTTGAATTGAGAATTATGAATATGAATTTCTTGTGAGAATGTTTATTTGTTCGTTCTCATCTTGTTGGAAATAGGTTACCTTTCTGTTTACAGAAAGTACATACAGTTTCGACGTCATATCCTTTCTTGCAATTCGTGTAGCATGAAATAGATCTGAATTTTTGACAAGACATTATTTATTATTAGAATTAAAGATCGAACTGGCAACTCTGGTCCGCGCCTAGAGTTAGTTGACAACAACTGTCATTTGCTGTTGTCAAATTGATTATTCAGAAATCTGATAGATTTCACGTATGGACAGGATCGTTATGTTTGAGGTCCACGAAAAAATTTAATATGCACCTCGACAAAAAACAATTGTCTCGCCTGATTGCTAGCCTTGGCTAATAAATCAGCTATCAATCTGCAGACTCGACTATAATAGACAGTTTTTCGTCCTTGGCACATAAATTACTATTAGAGATTATTTGCCACTCATTTATAAGCTTGGTATGTATGTTTGAATGTTGCAACGCGGAATCTTCGAACGTGATTTTGAACCACTTCAAAACGTCGAAGACTCATGACAATAGCATAATTCAATAGTTTTGTTCCAGTTTCCTGATCAGGATCTTCAGGATGCGCGATATTTTTTCTAAAATAAAATGGTGGATGAAGTTCCGCCACCAAAAGTGCAAAATGTTCCCTCACCAAAATATCAAGTGCTCGTTTTTATTTCTTTGAATAACATTTTACAATGCTCTTTATATCCAGAAACACAGCAGTGTCTCACACCAACTCTCCATATGAATAGTTACATCCAGAGAGACGGTTATGTTGACTCACTTCTAAACGTCGAATTGAATTGAAACTTTGCATACTTATAAAAGAACCGATGACAATAGCAAAATTCAATAGTTTTGTTCCATAATCCTCTGATCAGGATCTTCAGGATGGGGATTTGTACATCCAGAGATACGGCAGTGTCTTGCACCAAGTACTAGATTTAGATTAGATTTAGAGTGGTACCTTCGAGCTACAGACAGAGACCTTTACATATCTATTGTGTCTGCTCTCAAAATCGTTTAGAGTTATTTGGCTAGCTCTGCCTTCTCTATGAGACTCCATAGGCTAGCTTTCAAATCCTCTGTATAACTTTGGGCTCTCGGATTTTCCTCAACCAGCATGAGCAACCTTAGTCTTGACAAGCCCTCACAATGGCAAAGTATATGTACTGCTGTTTCCTCCTTCCTGACAGAACCTGCATAGCCGTTCCTCAGTCAGACCTATCGTACTCATGTGTTTGTTGAGCCTACAATGCCCTGTGCGAATTCTCACTAGTAGGTATTCTAGTTGTACTTCGTTTTTAGCTCAGTAGATATTCTGTGAATGCTGGCGATGGTTTCTTAATAAACTCTTTTGCCTGTCTCCTGGCGAGTTGTTACACCATTCTTGAGATTTGGTTTGCTACCATGATAAGATATTCGTCTTTTGTATAGCTTTCGCTAGTATTCTAGCTCGTATAGTATGAAGATAGTTACATTGAGAGCTACGGATAGTCCTGTACGATTCATTGTTGAGTTCCAATCAACAGTGCTGCTCCTGAAGTGGCGCTCGGAGCTAGTCACAAAGCCTACACACAACACATAGGAAGACATGATGACAGTTGTGAGCATCAGAGAAGAAGTAAGACGATGTATGTAACTGGGTGTGAAAAACTACCAGCAAAGCGTGCTGATTAGAGGGGCTCTAACGGGGTTTAACGAGGTAGCTGGCAGGCCTGTCACTGCAGCATATGGTAGTGAGTACATTACTAGCCTACAAAACACAACCAACAAACTCTGAAGGAGATTCGATGTTAGCCACTCCTACCAGTACCAGTACATCAAGAGAGACAGTATAGTGTCTTGCACCAAGTACCTGTATGGAATGAAGTTTCAGGAAAGGGAACCTGAAAAATGGTCACAACATCCAAGGAAAACAACAGGCACGGAAATTATCCACTTTCACTGCGGTGCAGTATAGTTACTAAACATAGAAAAACACTAAGAAACACGCTTTCGTAGTTAACCGAACTGAAAAATACACAACATAGAAAATACTGATCACGAAGGTGCTAATATTTTCTCGGTTGTGTATTTATCAACAAACTTCTTTTATTTTATTTTATATATTTTCAGTTTGCCTATCTATGAAACCGTGTTTTTTCAGTTTTTCGAACCACAATTTGATAATGTTCGGAACGATAATTGTACTATGTCTATAGGTCTATATTTGGACAAGCCACAAAACGATTATAACTGCTGCATGCAGCACTGCTCAAGCGATCATGATAATCCGACAAAACACTAAATAGCACGCTTCTACAACCGAATACATTCGACAAAGGATTACTTTGTTTGTAATCAATAATTTATTACATGCTACATGCAATGATTTATTCAAAAATTATTGCGCGAATTACTATCACAGCCATTGATCGATTATTGAGATGTTCAAGTATTCTAACAGAGATCAGTAGTAAATGGCGAATGAAGGAGGGACTCTTCTACGATATGAGTTGAATAATAAAGCACTGGTTGACTTCAAGTGTCAAAATAGATTTCACTGGCTTTAGTGTCAAAAAAGGTCAGAAAAGTCGAGTGAGCTTTCAAAATTCGCGATGAACGATGCAGTTATCCAACACCACTTCGAAGAAGTCTTCAATGCTCTCCAAGAGAAAGACAACTTCGAAATTTTCACGAAAATCAAAGCTGTCACGAAACCAAGAGTACGAAAAATCATTACCAACATTATCGAGTCTCCATCACTGCTCCAAGATGAATCATTGAGCGAAGACGAATCGCGTTTCGGAAAATCAGAAGATCTGACGCTTTCTTCCTCCTACAGGCCGAAGAGTTTCAAGTCCGAAGCAGTTGCAAGTCGAGATAATAAAGTGGAAATGAGGAACACGCTATTCGAGTGCAGGTTTTGCGGAAGATACATCTTGGGGGACTTCTTGGAGGTGCACGAGGAAAAATGTGGCTCCGATACTGTTTGAAAATCTCTGGTTATATTGATACTAAGGGGCTCTCTGACCAGCCAACATGCCATATTAAGTTTTTCAATATGGATAATCATTATTACTTTTTTCATCATATATTATATTGTAGGTATATATCTCTACAAAGTACATGTATCTCAATTGATCCTTATAATTACATACATTTTCACGTTAAATTCCTTATAAATAATAAGGAATGGCCATTTGATAATCTACGTCTACGATATGATGTGATGTCATGCTGACGGAGCTTCGAACATCTCAGTTATAATGAGCAACCAAGCGGATTCCAAGTACCAAAAACCTAATAAAATAGTCATCAATTATACAAGGGAAAAAAGTAGTAGATTTTAGTTCCACGTTGTGTTGTCTCCTGAGTCCTGACGCGTAGCGGAGGGAGACAAAAAACCGTGAGCTAAAATCTAATATTTTTCCCGTGAATAAAACACTATTATTTTCTGTGACAGAAGAAAGGACGAATCAATATTGAGAAAATAGCACATTATTTTGAAATCTGGAAATTATCGACGTGAAAGGACCCCGCACAAAACCATAGGGAATTGGCCCACAGTGGGATTTGCCTGAAATTCACTTATGTTATTGGTATGGAGTTTCTGATCAAATGTCTTCATGTGACCAATCCTCTAAGACTAAAGATTTAGCTCTCAGGGCCGTATTTACTATAGGTGCCAAATAACCAATGACCCTTTTTTTTTCAAGCCCATGATTTTTGTTTTTGTATCTCCCATTTTGATTTAATTGAATGAGAAATGTTGCGAAATCTTGGCATTTGTCTTTTAGCACGAGTCCTCTGTAAAACATGGCTTGTCCTACAGGACCGTATTTAGTAAAACTGTATTTGCCAAAGTGCCGAATCGAATTAATTTTGTTATTACTTTCTTATTTCTTGTCCTATTTCAGTGGTCGTTTGATAGATGAATGTAGATTTCTTTGTGTACATAACAAAAGTGGTCACCATCTTGATATTCAAGATGGTCGGCCTAACATTTAATCTTCATGTAGGACATATATCTCGTAGCTTTTTAGGAATCATAGTAACAAGAAAAGATAAGAACACGTCTCGATTGTTGAAATCGGTCATTTACTTTTTCAATTACCTAACTCTATAATATAAATATAACTCTACTATCTAATTGAAACTTCATCTAATTCATTACTAACAAAGTTGAAACCGATATTTACAGGGTGGTGAACAAAAAAGTCGAGCACTCACTATCAACATAATTCCCGAACACCAGCTGCTGGAGTATTGCATCTTGCACTGGACGATTTGCGGCATCTTTAATGTACTGTAACACAGAAGTCGATGGATAATTCACATTTTGATTATGGCGGGCAAATCCTAAATACCACAATAATATGCTACAAATATGAGCACATGTTCCTAGTGGCCTTGCCCCTGAATTGCAACTGCAGTAGTATCCTATTTTCATACATCTTCTCCTCCTGAATCGAGAATACACTCTAAGTCTGATGAATCCAGGTTCAATCACTTTGAGATCAATTTCAAACGACTCTAAGTATTCTGTCTTGGACATAGGACGCTGATAATTTGATTTGATATGTTCCAAAAGTCACGTTTCTCAAGTAATCCATAGATAGGTGTGGAAATCGAGGAACATGCTCATTATTAAGTTGCTGCCATAATCTACGTCGATTAGAGAGCTTTTAACATTTCAGTGTAAGTTGAAACAAGGCTTATCTGACGAATTTTTGAAGATTATTTTTGCCTATACCACAAGACAGTCGGTGAGCTTAGCAATTAAGAACCAGATTTGCTAGAGATAACATCGGATTTGAAGCGATATCTCATCATCAGTATTTAGAGCGACACGTAACGCCATTTTCATATTGAAGATGCCGCAAATCATCCAGTGCAAGATGCAATACTCCAGCAGCTGTAAGTGTTCGGGAATTATGTTGATAGTGAGTGCTCGACTTTTCTGTTCACCACCCTGTAAATATCGGTTTCAACTTTGTTAGTAATGAATTAGATGAAGTTTCAATTAGATAGTAGAGTTATATTTATATTATAGAGTTAGGTAATTGAAAAAGTAAATGACCGATTTCAACAATCGAAACGTGTTCTTATATCTTTTCCTGTTACTATGATTCCTAAAAAGCTACGAGATATGTCCTACATGAAGATTAAATGTTAGACCGACCATCTTGAATATTAAGATGATGACCACTTTTGTTATGTACACAAAGAAATCTACATTCATCTATCAAACGACCACTGAAATAGGACAAGAAATAAGAAAGTAATAACAAAATCAATTCGATTCGGCACTTTGGCAAATACAGTTTTACTAAATACGGTCCTGTAGGACAAGGCATGTTTTACAGAGGACTTGTGCTAAAAGACAAATGCCAAGATTTCGCAACATTTCTCATTCAATTGAATTATTATGGGAGATACAAAAATCATGGGCTTGAAAAAAAAGTGTCATTGTTTATTTGGCACCTATACTAAATACGGCCCTGAGAGCTAAATCTTTGGTCTTAGAGGATTGGTCACATGAAAACATCTGATCAGAAACTCCATACCAATAACATATGTGAATTTCAGGCGAATCCCACTGTGGGCCAATTCCCTATGGTTTTGTGCGGGGTCCTTTTGAGTTTCCAACAGTAGGGATACCTGCGTTGTAGGCATCATTATTATTCTCTAGAAGTAATCAAATATCTGATGTCACTGCTGTCAGTCTAATTCTGTGATTTGATTTCAAAAAATTGCAAATTTAGTGGTTTTTCAGTAATATACGTAACCGTGAAGTCGAATGGAAGATAAAAGGACTTTTCTCGGAGGCGGTATTATTGATTCATTTTTCGGAACTATAGCACAACAAAAGCCATCAACAGTGTATATATATATATGCGATATATATCCGGGAAAATAGAACTCACTTTTTTCCCACGGAAAAAAGTAATTTATGAAAAGTGACATTTTATAACCTGCCAACATAGATGAAATGCCAAACTTTTTTTCCCGTCACAGAAAAAACAAGTTTATTCGTCGTCTCATGATTTTTTTCCGCTACTTTCAGAAAATACAGGGTGCTCGGAACAAACTATCTACAGGGTACCAAATGATTTTTTCAAATGGGACACCCTGTATTTCATTCCAGAATCAGTTAGAGATTTCAAAAATGAATCCTACAATACATGGTATGTTGAGGTTATGTCAAACGACTACGAAGATATAGCCGATTTTCAGTATTGATACAGTTGAAATAATCTGACCGCGAAGCGAGAGGACTATTCTGATGAACTAACACGATTTGTAATTGTGCAAGTGCAGGGACTTTGAGATGTATAACCTTGAAGATTTTGAAGTTCTAATTGTATATGATGCGATTATTTTTTGAGTAGTTGTGAACGAGCGTCAAAATTTCACCATGCGCTTTGTTTGTATGTAACAATATGAATTGGTTACTATATGTACAGTGTGTCCCAGCTGGAACTTGTCACCTGCCTTATCTCCGATTTCGTTAAAAAAGTTGAAAATCGCTCGGACAGGTCGATTTCAATTTGGTGGAGGACACTTTTTCCAGCAATTATCATATTCCAAAGTTGAAATCTTGAAGCGTAACGGGCATCAACTCTCGATTTTCAAATAGATCACCCTGTATCTCATTCAATGATTTATTTATTTATTCATTTATTTATCTACACACAAATCCAGTACTAAATTACAGAGTTTACAGGAATTATACATGTATAAATGTCACTCTCATAACACAAAATATATATATATAAAGAATTGTGTACAGAAATAGCACCTAAGTGACTTAACACTTGTGTTGTGCTACAGATCAATATCATTCAATTCACAATTGCAGTTGTGTGCAGAAAGCTAGAGCTGAATAGTGGTATGACATAGTGCAAATAGAATTATTGATGTTCCAATATTGCAATAAATTGAGAGTAATTTTCGAATATGAATTTCTTCGATTCTCTAGAAAATGCTGTATGATTTTTCTTATTTGTTTCATCTCTAAAGGTAAAATATTGCAAGTTTCAGGCAAAGTGTAGGTCAAGAAACGGTAACAAACACTTTCATTGTATTTTGGGGTGAGTAGCAATTTGTTTGTTGTGCCTCTAGTAGAGTATGCTGTGGGAAAAGAATCATGAAGTATTTTATTTTTGAATGCATACATACATAGACTATGAAAATATAATGTTCTGATATTACTAATATCTTCTGTGTATAGAAGGTTAGTATGAAAAGATCTCTGTTTTTTGAAAATTATTTTCAGAATATAATTTTGTATTGTATTTAATTTTTGTAATAAATTGCTCCCCACACCAAAATACCATATCGAAATAGTGATTCAGCTAGAGACTTATAAATTAATATAAATAGTCTTTTCGATAAGAACTGTCGTAACTGGTGAAATTTATATATTAGCTTCCTCACTTTTTTTGTTCAATAATCAACATGATTGTTCCATCTGAGATTCCTGTCAATAATTATGCCCAAATATTTGATCTCGTTTGTTTCCTTGATTTCATCTTTCATACCTGGAACTTCAATACTGGAAAATGATGGTCTATTTGTATATGTTATAGTGAGTGCGAGATAGTGGGTTTTGCTAGCATTTAGTGAGAGACGATACATACTCAACCATTTATTAATCATTTCCATGCCTAACTCTACAGTATTTTTTGTTTCAGACCATGTATTTTCACTAAAAATTGCAATCGTATCATCGGCGTATGAGATAATTTTTGCGTTCACTTCTAAACAGAGCAATGAATTCATATAGGCTTGAAGAATTATTGGGCCAAGAACGGTTCCTTGAGGGACCCCCATTTTTACAGTCATAGTTTCACTTTTTGTTTCATTGATTTTGACACACTGTTTGCGATCGGCTAAATAACTATGAAAGACATCCAACGCTGCACCACGAATACCAAGACGCTCCAATACATCAAGCAGTATTTCATGATCAACAGTGTCGATTGCCTTTGCCAAGTCTAGGAACACTGCAATACATTTTTTGTTTCCATCAAGTCTTTCAATAATACTTTTGATAACATTGTACATTGCGTCACTGGTAGCCATACCAGCACGAAACCCATATTGGTAATCGTGTAT